GCTGTGTGCTGCGTGAAGTGTGAGGCGCTGCAAGCGGGGTCGCTGGCCCTTTTCCAGGGGCTTTGAAGGTAGGGATCTTCATCCTCTGGCCAAGGGCCATAACCTGTGTTATGGACTTGACCCTAACGGATGGAGGTTCTGCACCATCTTGTACTGCTGCCTCTCCTGTGGAGCGCTGGCTCCCCACATATACCTCTGGGCTCCAACCACATAGAATTTCACACCTTAAGTTGTCTTCCAACCTTTGTACACATATGTCTTGGGGAATCCTCTTATCTCTTCAGCTGATAACTGATTTTAGTTTTCCAACATACAGTTCAAACTCCAAGAAGCCTTCCCTGATACTCTGCTATCTGCTTTGTCCGTACTTGGCTCCCTACATCATTAATTGTTGATTAAATGATGCCTGCGTTTTGCAAGGCTAAGTGCTGTGGACAAAATCTGGGTTTTTTGCTTTCAAAGAGCTTCCAGTTTAGTAGACCATTGCAGACGAGAGAACAGACATTTAAAATGCCATTTTATAAATGCTACGCTAAGGGAAGTACAAGGTGCTGTAACAACCCTAATCTAGATGAGGGGTGTCCAGAGGCTTGGGGAAAAAACAACCTTGAAGTTGAACTCGGAAAATATGGTAGGTACAATTTTTCTAAGGTCTAACTGTGTCCAAAGACGTTGTGGAGGCTCAGTAGATGTTTGGGTGAATGTTCAATCTTCAGTGCAGCTCCCTTGCTTTTTTGCACCACCACCCCCCCCCGTCCCCCAGGCATTTATTTCTGCAGTATGCAGGGAGGGTCTTGTAACAGCTGCTTCAGGAGACATAAAGGGAGCAGGTGACAGTTTGCCCTGGGTGGTAGTGGCTACGTCTCTCACCTCTAGAGAAACTTCCTTTTGTGTGCCCCAGAGAAATGTCTAGCTAACCCTGAACTTGACACAGCCTCTGACTGTGGCTGTTTATAGCCTTTCATGATCCACCAGCATCATGACTTGGTAGGCATATGTTTGTCTTGTTGGTGAGGGGCCCAGAAAGTGCCTGCCTGACTGAGGAGTGAAAAGAGCTGAACCAGAATATGGAGGGAAGGATGATTTAGAAATAACCAGATCGAGGAGGAGGGGCAGGATAGAACGCATGCTTGGCATGCACGAAGTCTTGGGTACCTCTGTACCTGAATCCCCAGTACCTCTGTTAAAAATAAACAAATAAGTAAACTAACCTAATTACCTCCCCCACCAACCAACCAATCAATAAATAAATTAAAAAAAAAACAGAATCAAAAGTGGAAGTCTGTTTCTCAAAGCCACTGATCCAAAATAACTGAACCCAGGAACTATCTGAGCACCTGCTATATGCCCTACAGCAGTGAACATAGTGGGTGACACAAAGATGACTAAGACACACTCCCTTCCCTTGAGGGGAGGATAAGGAAAGCACTAGGAAAATAAAACACAAGGCAGAACGTGGTAAGTGTCCTGTTCATCGGGCCCCCGGTCTAGGCACACAACACCAGATGGTTATGTCCCCCTTCTCTCTCCCCCATGTCCAAGTCATGACCAGCCTCCCCCTGAGGTTTCTCCCCTATAGCTTCTCTGTACTCCACAGCCCACTGCTTCTCCCCACTGCGTTAGCCTCCCGCATCCATCTCTCCTCCAGCCCAGCCCACCCTTCTCATCAACCACCCTGCTCTGAAGACTCAGTGATCTCCTATTTCCTGATCACATTTGTCCCCCTGGCCCTGCATTCCCCACCTTATCTCCTTCTGTGTAAGGGAGTGATTAAAATGGGCACCTGCCAACTATTCCCTGCAGGCTGCACAAATGCCCTCTGTTGACATACTTTTAAAAGATCGCACCTGAACATTTTCTAGGTGAAAGCCCTGTGCTTGACGCAAGGGGCCGGGGTTGCTGAGATGAGTGCCCCAGACCTCTGCCTTGGGCAACCTGCATTCAAGGCAGTGACTTCCCTTCTCAGAGTAAAAGCTGCAGTGGCCTGCAGTGTTCCAGCTGTCCCTATACCTCCTCCCATTAATTCTCTGACCTCACCTCCTACACCTCTACTCTTTGCTGTCTGTGCCCTAACTATGCTGGCCTCCTTGCTCATCTGAAAATACCAAAACTCCTGCCTCAGGGCCTTCGCACTTTGCATTCAACCTGCAACATCCATCCCATCATGCACATATATATTTACATGCCTTGCTCTCACCTCTTTCAGGCCTTTACTCAAATACCGTCTTCTCATTGCAGCCTACCTGGCCACCCTCCCTAGGACTGCAGTATTCAATCCCACACACACTCTGTATCCCCCTCCCCGATTTATTTTTCCACAGAACATTCATCACCATCTGGAATACTGTTTTATTTGTCTGTCTTGCTCATTATCTATCTTCTTTCAGTAGCCCCATGAAGGTAGCAACACGGTCCATTTTTTTTTGTTCACTGATTATCCCTGGCACCTAGAACAGAGCTTGGCACTCAGTGGGTGCTCCTTAAATATTTGTTGCATGAATTCCCAGACTCAATGCTTTACTTTCCATGAAGCCTTCTCCAGATCACTCCAAGCAAGAAGGAGGAAATCTTGCTCCCCTGAACCCCCCCAGGCAGGCAGGAGAAGCTAGCCTGAAGACCACACAATGTCCTCCCGTGTTCCTGAAGATCATATGCTTAATCACAATTGTAAGTTCTTTGACTTTTCATTTGCTCTGTGTTATCTGCTGTCCCCTGAAATGTCAGCCCTGTGGTGGCAGGGACCCCATAGTCAGGTTCACCGGCACATCCCCAATGCCTAGCACAGCACTTGACACAGAGGAACTATTTAAGAGTGTTACTGAATGAAGGAAGGAATGAATGACCACTGCCCCTCCCTACAGGCTCTCTTTAAGGCCCACCATCAGCTGTTTTCTCCCCTTCGGCCCCACCTACATTACCTGTAAGTCATTCCACTTTTTTTGTCAGGGCAGTTTAGCTCCTCTGCAGCACACAGTCCTTCCCAAACCAGCACACCTGCCTGGGGCCAGTGCGCCTTTGACGACCAGGTCTCTCCTAAAATCCTTTCCATGGCTCCTCATTGCCTAAGCGCAAACTCATATCGTAGCATTACTCAAGGTCCCAAATATGACCTCAATCACAGGGAAAAGAATGCTAAGAGACAGAAACCCTGGGTTGGAATCCCAGCTCCACCATTTACTTGTCTTGTGGTTTTATGGTCACTTAACCACTCTGAATCCTAATTTTGTTTTGTCTTTGCCCCTGTCTGTACTCTTAGCTCCAGTGCACAGGACCTGTTCCCTGAACAGACTTTGCACACTTCCACCTCTGTGCTATTACTCACGCTGCTTCTCCCCTGGGGAATGCCACCCCCTCTCCTAACCCACTCACCATCCTCCTTTCGAATAACCCATCTTTCAACACTCAACCAGGGTTCATTGTACTGTTCTCTCTACTTTTGTATACTCTGAAATTTTCCATAATAAAAAGGCTTTTTTTTTTAAAGGGATACAGTAAAATTCAAAGGTTAAAAAAAATAAAGCAAGTCCACCCCTCTTTCCCTCCCTGGTCCCACGATCACCCTGTTCCCTAATGCCTAACCTTCTAAAGATGGTCTACAGCAATGACCCCAAGTTGGCTGCACCTGGGAAGCTTCAAAAGCGACTGATGCCTGGGTTCTTCTCCCCACTGCCCCCACTCCTAGAGGTTCTGATTTAAGGGACTGCAGCCTGGACTGGGATTTGTTTTTAAGCTGTACAGCCAAAGTTCAGAACCACTGATCCACACATTAACAAACATACATACAAAAGTACATATTCACACAAATGGTTGCAGCACACTCCATGCATTATTCTGTACTTTTGGATATTTTATGTAACATTTCATTGTATTTGTTCTCTGTTGCTGCTGTGACAAATTACAACACAGTTAGTGGCTTAAACAGCACGAGCATATTATCTTGTAGATTAGAAGTCTGATAAGTGTCTCACTGGGCTAAGTTCAAGGCTAAGTTCATTCCTTCCTAGAGGCTTTAGGGGAAAATCTGTTTCCTTTTCCAACTTCTAGGAGCTGCCCACTTTCCCTGGTTCACCTTCCAAGACGAACACCTTCAAGTTGAGTTCTCTGTCTGCTGCCATCTCTGTCTCTCTTCTGCCTCCTCTTCCACCTTTAAGGACATTGTCTCCTGTGATTACATTGGGCCCACTCAGATCATCCAGGATAATTAAAGCCAACTGATTAGTGACCTTAATTCCATTTGCTACCTTAATTCCCTTTTGGCATATGCAGCGGACTCAATGTCTGTGTCACTGCAAAATTCTTATGTTGAAATCTTAACCCCCAGTGTGATGGTATTAAGAGGGGTCTTTGGGAGGAAATTAGGTCATGAGGGTAGAGCCCTCATGAATGGTATTTGTGCCCTTATAACAGGGACCCCAGAGAGCTCTCCTGCCCTTTTTCTTCCATGTGAGGACACAATGAGAGGACAGTTATCTATGAACCAGAAAGCAGGACCTCGGACCAGACATCAAACCTGCCAGGGCCTTGATCTTGGACTTCCCGTCCTCCAGAACTGTAAGAAATAAATTTCTGTTGTTTAAGCCAACCAGTTGATGGTACTTTGTTATAGCAGCCCAAACTAAGACGCATGTATCCTAACAAATTCACAGGTTCTAGGTATTGGGATGTGGACATCTTGGGGTGGGGAGGGTGCATTATTCTGCTGCTGTATCATAGAGATTTGTCCAAAGCAGGAGAAAATGTATCTAATGTATTTTTGATGATCTTATGTATAACCCAGTTTGGGAGCCAGTTGTTAGGACTTGCTCAGAAAGAATGTACAAGGCTGACTAAGGAGCTCTGACCTGGTTTCACTATTTAAATATTCTCCTTAAATAAAAAACAAGCAAACAAAAATATTATTTGACATTTGTAACATCCAGGCCTTCCTTCTCCCCACAGCCACAGGGAGTAAACATCTTGTATACTCCAAACATAGCCCATGGGAGATGTTCAGCAACTATTCATGGAAGGAAGGAAGGAAAGAAGAAAAGAAAGGGAAGAGGGAGAGAGCTCTCCTTACCCCCTGACACTGGGTCTGCCCAGTTTCCCATCTGCCTCTGAGTGAGCCTGTTCTCTCTTCTTCTCCAGCCCCTGTTGCTACTTTCAGACCCCTCCACACAAGGGTTCTGCGATACTCAGTAATACCCTGGATATCCTCATTTTGTCATTTCTGAGTGCCAGGTACTGTACTGGGCACAGGCTGTGCCTCACTGACGGCAGATAATCACATTCTGTTCTATGTTCTGTGTTCAGGCACAGCTGGGAATCTGCATCACAGTGGGCCAAGCACTGGGGCCAAGTTCATATCCTAACTCTGCCACTTAGGGAATCCCTTAACGTCTTGGTTTCTCAGTTTTACCACCTGTAAGATGGGAATAGCAATATCTACCCAAGAGGGTGTTGAGAAGTTTAAATAGCCTAATGGTTGTCAAGCCCTTAGAACCTTGCCCACCACATAATCAGTATTCACTGTTATTACTATTACTGATGTATTTCTTGATGCTCGATCAAGCCCCTTCTGGATGGAAGGAATGCCATCCATCCATCGTTGCTTCCCCATGACAAGTATTGAGTATTAGGTGCAGAAACTATGTAAAACATGCTTGCTTTTGAATCAAAGGATGTGATAAACCATATACTAGGTGAGTACACTTACTTACATACAGTCCACAAACTGAGTGTTTAGATAATGATTATCAAAAGTTCCCATTCATCATTTGATGTAGGTAGCTAAGAGTTTTGGTTAACTGATGCTTCTGACTGCCCAGCATCCCTACTTCTATAACTAAGCTTCTCTCTTTTTTGTTGGGAAAGTACCTCCTCCCTATCTCAGTCCATGGGCTTTGGGTGAATCTGACTCCACCCTTTGTCATCAAGATAAGCATGTGACCCAGATCTGGCCAATTAGAGCAATGCAGATTATTAGTCACAGCCATTGGCTCAGGGATGGTCATGTGAACTAAGGAGGGTCCTCTTCAGCACTTTTGCTGGAAGTCTTCAGAAAGAGGTATTTCCTTTTCACCAGTGGCTAAGCTGGAAGATTTTAAGACTGGAGCTACTGAAACCATATTGATCACCACCTGAGGAGAGCCTTCCTGATAGTGAAGTCAGCACACAGAAAAACAGAGCTGAGATGGAGATAGATTCCTAGTGGCCTCTGTTGAGCACCTAGATCTAGCCATCCCTGAACTCCTAAAGTTTTCATTACATGAACCAACAGACTCTTTTTTTTTTGCTTAATATGAGTCATGTTTCTGATACTTGAAACTGAAGGATATGATTTTGATTAATTTATCAAATTTGATTAATTTATCAAGTCAAAGCAATATTTATTAAATGCTTCTTAGATAAAAAGAACTGTATAAAGTCCTATTAGAGATGCAAGCAAGATCAATTTTTTAAAAAATAGAATAAAATTGTGTGGAAATACAAAAGACCCCAAATAGCAAAACAATCCTGAAAAAGAACAGAGCCGGGGGAACCATGCTCCCTGACTTCAGACTCTACTACAAAGCTACAGTAATCAAAACAGTATGATACTGGCACCAAAACAGAAACATAGATCAATGGAACAGGATAGAAAGTACAGAAATAAACCACGCACTTATGGTCAATTAATCTACAACGAAGGAGGCAAGAATATACAATGGAGAAAAGACAGTCTCTTCAATAGGGAAAACTGGACAACTACCTATGAAAGACTGAAATTAGCATATTCTCTAAAACTATGTACAAAAATAAACTCAAAATGGATTAAAGACTTAAATGTAAGACCAGATACTATACAACTCCTAGAGGAAAACATGGTTCATATTTTTGAACCAGCTCCTGGAGTAATGGAAATAAAAGCAAAGATAAACAAATGGGATCTAATTAAACTTAAAAGCTTTTGCACAGCTAAGGATACCATCAACAAAACGAAAAGACAACCTACAGAATGGGAGAAAATATTTGCAAACGATGCAACTGACAAAGGACTAATTTCCAAAATATAGAAACAGCTCATACACCTTAATATCAAAAAAAATAAGCAACCCAAACAAAAAATGGGCAGAAGACCTAAATAGACATCTCTCCAGGGAAGAGACATCCAAATGGCCAACAAGCACATGAAAAGATGCTCAACATCACTAATTGTTAGAGGAATGCAAATCAAAACAATGAGATATCACTTCACACCAGTCAGAATGGCCATCATTAAAGTCTACGAATGATAAATGCCGGAGAGGGTGTGGAGAAAAAGGAATCCTCCTACACTGTTTGTGGGAATGTAAGTTGGTGCAGCCACTATGGAGGACAGCATGGAGGTTCCTTAAAAAACTAGAAACAGACTTACCATATGATCCAGCAATCCCACTCCTGGGCATATATCCAGAGAAAAATGTAATTCAGAAAGACACATGCACCCCAGTGTTCACACCAGCACTATTTACAATAGCCAAGACATGGAAACAACCCAAATGTCCATTGACAGATGACTGGATAAAGAAGCCTGATGAAGCCAAGTTCACCTGTGGCAGTGGGAGCATCTATGATGACAGTTGAAGGAAAAGTTCCATGAGTTTATGAGAAAGCTGGTGTTCTCAGCTCCCCTGGCTTCCTTCCTGTCAGACTGATCCTGGGATGTGATGGAGGAAGGATCAAGGTGTGGATGGTTTCCATGTTGGTATCCTGGTTGCATCTGGTCTGTGAGATGCCTGGAAGAACTCAAAGGTGAGAATGGAGAGCCAGCAAGCAGGCCACAGATATCAGTTAAGAAAATGCTTCCACATATCCAGAACTTTTAGAACTCTGATACACGTAGCTGAACCCCTAGGAACTCAACAAAATGGTCGCTATATCTAATTTCAGGTGTGTTGAGGGGAGCTTAGGATAGTGAATTGAAATTTCAGGGAAAGGCTGAAGTGTGGCAAGCATAGTGGTTAACAGACATGGAAAAGAGGACTCCTCCTGAGGGACCTGTCCTGGCCCCCCTCCTGCCATTCCCCTCCCCTGGTCCTGCACAGTTTGTAGGACCAGGGAGATGTGACCATCCAGCACTTGTGCCCCCATCTCACCCACCAGACCCTGGACTCCCTGTTCACACAGACCCAAACCTGCTTCAAGGTTTTTAAGAGCCACTCCCTGGGTCCATTCTCACAAAGGTGGTGCTACCATGCTGCACTCCCTAAGGCCCCGGTGGTTGGTGGCCAAGGGGGAGGTGTCCCTTGCAAGTTGAGAAAAAGGGAGCAGCCTTGACCTTGGGACAGTTGGCTTTGACAACACATCGTGGCACAGACCTAAGCCTGAGAATTCTAAATTTGAACTTGGCCTTCCAGGATGTTATATCGAATTAGGAGTATAGAACATATTTCAGCTCAGCTTAATTTATAAGAAATATTAAGACATGGCACGGTACATGGGCCTCCATTTATATTCTTGCCTCTGGTTTTAACGGATGTTGGGCCCAGTGGTTAAAGGCATGTACTTCAGTATCAGATAGGCCAAAATTTAAAGATCTGGGCAAGCTATTTATTGGTTTATGTGCCTTCAACAGTTTGCTTGAGCTCTCTAATACCAATGTCAAGGCTCTTTCAGTTGCAATTAAGAGTATCCCAACTCAGACTGACAATCATAAACAGTAGTTTACTGGCTCTTGTAACTGACAAGTCCAGTGTGGCAACTTCAGGCATGTCTGGATCCAGCAGTCTAAACAAGCAGCATCCTTAGCACGCAGTCTCTCTACATCTTTGGCTGCTCTCCCGTGTTGTCTTCATTCTCAGGTGAGAATACACATAGTAACAACCTTACATTCTACTTAGCAATCCCCATAGAAAATTAAAGATATTTTCACTTTATAAAGTTCTGGCAGAGTTCAGGGATCTGCTGATTGGTTGTATGCCCACCTGGAGGGTGTGGGTCTATCCCCTGTTAAATCACACGGATTAAGGGTTGGGGAAGTGGTAGTTCACCAAATAAAAATGAAGATGTGGTTCATTACTGGGAGAATGGCTGAGGCAAAAACAACAGTGAGCTGGTAGGGACAATGCTTAGCACTGTGTTAGCCACCAGTAATGTGACTAAGAAAATGAAAATGGACTCAAACTGGGTATTTATCCTGAACAGAAAGCAAGTGGAAACCAGACTCATTTTCCAAGTGCCCTGAACTCTGGGATCGGAGCTGGAAGCCTGAACAAATGAAGACCTGGACCTACCATCACAATCTCAGAAGACATTCACAGGTTTGTGTATATGCATCAAACTTTCAGTTGCTGTGGCTGATTCTGCACTGCTGACCTATGCCCAGCAAGCAGTGGGCCTCAGCCTCAAGAGCTGTGTGCTGAAACCAAGCCATGCTCACCCGGAAGACTCATATTTCTGGAATTTTGTAGAGGAGTACATGAATCCCAAATTATTAAGCTTCTAGAATACGTGGCCAATTTGGGGCAGTTTTGGGTCTAAGATATAACCTACCATCACTGATAACTCATCACTATAGTATGTGCTTCCTAGTTACCTCCTATAATCTCCAATTACAGAACATCTTTTAAATATTTATTACCTTAATTGAAATTGAGCCAGCATTATCAACAGGCCTTTAAATGCACACTTTTGTGGATTAAATATCTTTATCTATTTTTGATGACTGATAAAAATAATCTATATACCACCATTTTTAGTATTTCTCCAAATTTTTATTTTGAAAAATTTCAAACCCACATAAGTTGAAATAGTAATGTTTAAGGATTAATGCTGCTTTCACACACAAGGATTTTTTATCAAAAAAACACGTTGGCCTCTGGTCTACATTAATATCCAGGTAACTTCTCCATGCTTACAAGAGAAGTGAGAGGAGCTTTAGTGAGAGACGCTTTCTGTCCTCAGGAAGTCTCTAATTTTTTGTAGTGCTTTCACTCATCTTGTTAGAAATTCACAGCCCTGAAAGACACGCAGGACAAGATTTAGTCCCATTTTACAGATGAGGAAACAGACTCAGAGGGGTCAAGTGCTTTGTCTGCTCAAAGTCGTAAGTCAGTAAGTGCCCAGCTGAAACTGGAACTGAAGACTTCTGACTTCAGTAGCTCAACATTCGGAAGTTACTTCCTCTCCTGGATATACACTGAAAGTAAAGCCAGAGCCAGAGCCAAGCAGATATGCAAAGAAGTGTTTTAGTCTCCTTCTGACAATCAGAAAGCAAATATTCAACAGGACCCATGTGCATAGCATTATCAATCATAAGTCTGTTATTAGGAACAGAAAATCACAGTGGAAATTGGGAACATAAAACCACAGTACACAGAGGGAACTGAAATTTCTGTCAACTGCCCTGGTTTGAATTCTACATTTACTGAGTGCTTGCTGTATCCCAGGTAGTCTGGGATACAAAGCAAATCAAACAGACAAGGATTCTTGTGGAGCTCACATTCTAGTGGGTTAATGAACAATCCAAAAGCTGCCAAAAGAGATTGTTGGACCACATCCTGCCCACATTAGTGTTTTGTTTGCTCCATACAGTGCTTAATTTTTTCTTTATAATAGATCACCAACTTCTACCTTTTCTGAAACAGACAACTTCTGCTGGATTCCTAAATAATAAGTAGCAACCACCCCTGCCCCTTATCCAGGACTTAGGCCCTTTAGAGATCACTTCAGTCCCCACCATTTCCTACTGTCTTACACCCAGACAACTGTGGCCCAATTCACACATTTATATTATCCACTTGACATCCATAAGCATTTAAGATGAAACCCCTGAAGCCAACAAATATCCAAACAAGGTAATTTCAGATAGTATTAAGTAATATAAAATAAAATAAAATAAGCTAATGTGATATGATTGGTGGAAAGGGCTACTTCAGAATGGGTGGTCAGGGAGGGTCTCTCTGAAGCGTAACTGAAACTGAGAACGGAATTACGACAAACATGACAAGTCTGCCAACAGAAGAGAAAAATGCATCTAAGCAGAGAAAAACCTTGGCACAGGTCCCCTCAGAGCAAGAGTGGGGTGGCTGGGAGAGTGGTAACAAGACCACAGAGGAAGGAAGAAGCCAGATTATATAGGACCAGGTAGGTCATGGTAAGAATTTTGGATTTTATTCCAAGTGTGATGGGAAGTCTTTGGAGGATTTTAACTTGGGAACAATGTGACCTTTACATTTTCAAAAGGTCACTCTAGTACATAGAAAAATTACTTAACAAGGCAAGAGAGGAAGCAGGGAAGCCAATGAGGACGCTATATTCTAGTAGACCAGTAGGAGACAGTGGCTAGAACCAGGATGGTTAACAGAAAAGATGGAAAGAGGTAGCAGATTCAGAAAATACCTGGAATGTAACCAAAAGAATTTTCTGATGGAGTGGGTACTAGTAGTGTAGTAAGGCGGTGGAAGTAGTGAAAAGAGAGTAATTAAGGATAACTCCAAGGTTGTGACTTGTTCAGACATTTATATGAGTTAGGGGTCACTAGGGGAGGTCCCAGTTTTAGAGAGAGGGAGTAAGAATTTATTTTGGATGAATAAATTTTGCCTAGGCTTAAGTCTTCCTAGATTCCTCATTTCCCTTACCTCTCACATCCACGCAGTCCTCAAAGTCCAAAAATTTGAACTTCTAAACACTGAATCTCCTATCAAATCAACCCCTTAACTTCATACCCATTGCCTCTGTCCTGACTCAGTCCTCTTGCCTTGACTTTTACAACAGCCTCCTTCAGCTATGAATAAACTAACAAGAAGCACTTCCTAGACATGTGTACCTTTCTCCCACCAGCCATCTCTGATGGCAGAGATCATGTCCTAATTCACATTTATCTCCAGTGCCCAGTGCTGTGCTGGGCACAGAGTAGGCACTCCAATGTCTGATGAACTGATCAGGGGTTCTCCTCAAACAGGATATAACCTCATGAGAGACAGAGAGTCACCTTCTGATTATGATTCCTCTGCACAACTTAAAGCAGAGCCAAATATTCTCCGTTTTACAAATGAGAAAACTGAGGCACAGAATGAAATCCCTTAATTACTTTTTGATGGAGTTAGATGCTTTGCCTGGATTAAGGTAATCTTTTCCCTGAAGCCATACCACAGTTCTGGAATTGGAAGATATCCCAATCTCCCACCCCTCAAAACTGCTGGTTAGTAGTCAGGTGTCCCCTAGGCTTTGCTTCCACAATTACAAACTTCTTTGGATACCAGGGTGTGTTGCTACAAGGTCAAAAACCATGTTCTCTCTCTCTTCTAATTACCACTCTCCTCAGTGTCTGGTGAAGTTAGATTCTACTCCTTGGTCCCAGGAAAAAGAGAAGCACCTTGGTTATTAGCGTGGGAGGTCAAGTAAGGCCAGGAGTCACAACCAGCAAGGAAAGAGAGAGATCTAAGTAGGCAAGAATAGTTTCAATGGGAAAAAGGAAAGAGGAGTCACCATTAAGAAAATCAGAACACTCCTTTCAAGGGTTCCAGCTGGGGAGTACCCGGGAAAAGTGGCAGCAGTCGTGGCAGCAGAAGGCCAGCTCCTTTCTGCTGTCCCTCTCAGAGTCATTTCTTCAAGGCACCCAGGCTCTTCAGGGCCTCCTGGGCCTGAGTCAGCTGCTGCTGCAGCCTCTGGCGGGTGCTCTCATTGGAGGCCCGCTTCAGGAGGCCCTGCATTTCTTCCACTACTGCCCGGTAGCCAGGGGTGTTGTGGAGGAGCCGCACCGCCCGGTCCCCACAGGAGGCCAGAAGCCGGCCAGTGATGTCAAAGGACAAGTCAGTGATACACTCCCCATGGACCTGCTCAAAGCACTCCTCCTTCTCACCCCGCCGGGTATTATAGAGATGAATACTGCTGCCACTGGCCAAAGCCAAGACCTGGGCGTCAGGGGAGAGAGCCAGGCGACATGACGTGGTGCTCGCTTCTTCAAAGCGGCCTGTCCTCAGCAAGTAGGGGTCCTGCTGCTTCTTGTATTCCACATCTGTGTCCCACAATTTCCACGTACCATCCTTGGAGACAGAGGCCATCCTGCAGCATGGAAAATCATGGCTCTAGCCCAACACACCCTGGAGCGGAGGGCACTGGGGTAGCTTTAGGGACTCCAGCTAGGAAGCCAGTTCCATTGCTATGGGCCTGCTGAGGGCCAGGTACCCCACCCACTTCAGAGCTGCTGCAAAGAATGGCAGAAGGATCCTGGCTGCCCAGAGAGAGGCTGAGGGTCATTGGTAAGAAATCAGGATTCACTCACCTCCGGGAGTCATTGGAGAAAGCAAAGAAGTGGACGGCTGCAGAGTGGCCCTTCAGTTCAAAAGCTCGCACAACCTCCTGGAATTCCCCTTTTTTCCCAAAGCAGACTTCCCAAACTTTTACATCTGGGGTAAAGCCACACGAGGCCACAAACCTGCCATACAAATCAGGTTTCTTAAAAATTAATTTTAAGCATCTTTTTCTGCAAACCCAGTAAACTTTTTTCCTGAGAAAGTTAATCGTGTATCTAAATAACATAAGACCTCATAGCTGTGCTAAAATATACATAGTACCCCCACTTCAACCTTTTAAAAACTATAGATGAAGAAACAGAGACTGAGGACTTGAATCTAGGTGTCCTGATTCCATACTGTATGAGCTTTCTGCTATTTGCAGCTGGCTCTCTGCTCTGTCCCTAGCCTTCAGCCCCAGCCTCTGCCCCAGGCAGCCTCATCTGCCCATCCAGATGCCAAAGTCCCTCCGTCCTCACCTGCTACAGGGGGATATAGCAGCATATGTATTGTTCATCTGGTTGGTGTTGATGGTAGACAGCACCTGACCTTTCAGATTCCAGATGAGGATAGTTGTGTCACTAGAAGCAGTCATGATGAACTTCCCTGAGGGGTGAGGGGAGTGACATGAGCTGAGGTCAATGACCTGACTGACTGTCACTTGCCAAGGAGACACTTATGAAGGCCTCTGTCTCAAGGATTCATGTTCCCCTCCTGAGCCAAAGGTTGCCACAGATAAGGAAGGATTTGGCTGAAGACTGTGGCTATTACCTGCCTTCCCTGGGGACCTGCTATGGCTCCCAGGACCCCAGGAGAGTCCAGAGCCAGAGCCCCTTTCGTCATGCTGGGGCTGAGCACAACTTTCAGGCTGCTCAATCATTCAGTAAATATAACTGGGTCCATTCTCTTGTGTTGGGCAAGCTCTACCCTCTGACTGCCTCTTACCTGTGTCAGCAATGCCAATGTTGACGATGGGTGCCTTGTGCCTTTTAGGAAAGTCCTCTGGGGTGGCTGTGAATGTATAGCCCCCATCCTCTCGCTTGGTCATCTTGAAGACACGGAGGGTGTCTCCACTGGCCAGCCAGACGATGAAGGCTCTAGAGACAAGAAGCAGACAAGTCTCTCACTCCTTTGAACATGGAGACCTGTGTGTTCCAGATTCTGTGCTAGGCAGGCTTTGAGGAAGATCAAGACCTCCCTTCAGGACCTATAGTCTAGCCTCACAACGTAACCCCTTGGTTCAAAATGTCTTAAAATTCCTTAGAAGGTACGACTCTCATAGCTCTGGCTCCTTTAGCTTCTCTCTAGGGTTTAGAAAACCATCACAGCTTCCAAAATTAATCTAGAAGCCAGGCTTTGGTACTTCCCAAGTAGGAATAGATCTCCCTCTCTCTGCTTCCTTCCTATGTAGCTACATAGCCCTCCAGGGAGCTCCAGGCAACATTCAAGCTGTCTGGATGTTCCCTTTCTGCCACCACAAGGGAGACCCTGGGTCCCCCCTCACTATCCCAAAGGAGGTATGGGAAGGACATAAGCCTGGGTCAGGGCTTCTGCAGGCAAACCTGAGGCTCCATCCTGTCCCACCTGCAGTCAGGGCTGAAGCGCACCAGGATGGCATGGTCCAGCTCCACATTTGCTCTCATGCTACGGTGTTCCCTCTGCAGGAAGTCCTTGGTGCTCCAGATGCGGATGGTACGATCATCTGCACAGGTGGCCAGGTACTTGCCATTGCTGCTAAAGTCCATGCAAGATATGTTCCCACTGTGGCTCTAGGGGAAGGGTTGCAGGAAGTATGAACAGGAGCCCCTTGGGCAGATGGAGAAACCCAACTCACAGCCGTGATTCCAGGGCCCTACTGCCTAGATTAACAGCAAGCTGCTGATGGGATGCGATGAGAAGGGATAGGATAGGGCATCCCTGATTGTGGTCAGAGGCAGTGGGGTCTGTAATACGCACAGAACACTACAAAGGAAAAGTCTGCGGGGGTGTGGGTCTTCGTATACATGTTCTGTGCATGGGTACCCGTGTACCTTCAATGCTGCAGCCAGAAGGCGGTGGGTGAAGTTGTGTTGTTGAGGCTTCTCCTTGCGAATCCGCTGCTGTTTTTGCTTCTTGGATTTCAAGGACTTGTCAGGTGGAAATCCATTTGCTTTCTGGCCTATAAGGAAGGGCCATGTCATCCATTCATTCACTCACTAAGCACTTACTGACCACCTATGATTGGCCAGGCATTGAATGGAGGCATAAGAGATGACCAGATATGACCCTTGTCCTCAAGGAGAGTGATATGGGAAAAAATAGAGGCTTTGGAATCAGACCTGGGTTTGGACCTGTGTCTCTACTCCTGAGTGAGCTTGAGGAGGCCGCCTGCTGCTGCTGTATGTAACGTTAACTATAACCATATAACCATAAACTCAATGCACATTAGAAAAGGCACCCTCTCTGGTCTGACACAGCTCAGTGGGTACACAGTACGGCCAGCAGAGTGCAGATTCTTGGGTACACATATTTAAGTAGGGAATAAAGTGCACAATGGAATCTGGTGGCCCTGGTCTTGGGTAAGTTACTTAATTGCTCTGAGCTTTTGTTTCTTTAACGAGAACTCAAGAATTGGGTGAGATAATATATACAAAATGATAAGCAGAGTACCCAACACAAGCATTAAAAGGCTCAAAGAGGTAGTGAGAGGCAGGAGAGGTCGTGAACATGAGGTGGGCACCTACTCTGTGCCGGAAATGGTGCCAGTCACTTTTGTATATAATAACTAATTTAATTGAGAATCAGGCCAGAAGCAAAGTTGGCAGGTGTTAGATGGCTACAGATGCTCCTTAATTCCTACAGGAAGAAAACTCCTGAGGCCACAAAGACAAATCTGCCCTCTGCTTGCCATTTCAGCCCTTACAAGCCCTCTCTTCTCCCCTCACACTACAGTCAAACCAAAATCTGTTTCAGAAGTGCTCCGCTTCATTCTTCCTCTCTTGGTCTCCTGGCAAACTCTTAGACGTCAATCCTTGAAGACTCTACCTCATGTGTTCCCTACTGGACCCCCAATCGAATAAAGCAGGGCTGACCACTCCCACCCTTGGGTTTCCTGTTTCTACATACTTACCTTTTTATGAAACCTACTATACTGCATTTTTCACTTACATTTTCAGATATACTTCCTTACCCAACAGTTGACTCCCTAAAGAAAAAGACCCCAAAGCCTACAGACGTAGTAGGTATTGCATGTCGGGGAACCAGGGCCTTCACAAATGAATGTCCGCTCCCCCCTCCCCATTTTCATAAAATAACAAGGAGCAAGCTTGCCAGTTTACAAGCGCTCTCCCAGCGGTCGCGCGGAGAAGCTGAGGCTCCGAGGGAAGACGACGGCTTGGCCTCCGCTGCCGCGCTGTCGGTGGCAGCGAGGGACCCAAGTTCTAACGGGCTGTCTGGAAGGGGTGCGACCACCCCGACGAGGAGGCACCTCGTCTCGGGAAGCCATACTTATTTCACAAGAGGAGAAACTGAGGCGGAGGGGTGGTCTCTGGCACCCCTGCAGGCCCAAACGGCAGGTCGGACCCCGGAGAGGCCGGGAGCGAGGTCCCCGTAGGTCGCCCCTACCCGCCCCCGCCCCACTAACCGACGGGCCCGCCACATGTCTCCTCTTTCGCGCGCAACCACCCCCGCGCTACCGCCGCCGTCGCCATCAGGGCCAGCAGCCCAAGCAGCAGCGACAGCCCCATCAGCTCCGGAATCTGCGGCAGCTCCATGTTGGCAATACCGCCGCCACCTCAGCGTCTAACTACGCGGGCGCCTGCACGTCTCCACGGGGTCGCGCACGCACGCAAGGCGGAACCTGGCCGTTGGTGCGCCTCGAGGGGCGGAGCCTGGCCGTTGGCGCGTCTCGAGGGGCGGAGCCTGGCCGTTGGTGCGCCTCGAGGGGCGGAGCCTGGCCGTTGGTGCGTCTTGAGAAGCGGAGCCCGGCTGTTGGCGTGTCCAGGGGGCGGGGTCTGGTCTTTAGCGAGTCCAGAGGGGCGGGGCCTGGCAGTTTAAGACGGTCTAGTCATTGAGGCTGTGTTTCCGCGGAGGGTGGGCGGCGAGAAATGCAGGCCCTGCTTCGGCCTCCCCTTGAATAATTTAATGATAATCATTATTAAAGGCGTTATTCCAGCCATCATCACACGATCCTTTCAAGGAGGTAAGGCGGGGATTATTACCCCCATTTGACTGGTGGGAAAGTCTTCTTAGTATCGGGGAATTCAGATTGGCGTTTACTCTTAATGGAGAAAGGTCAGGGTCGTCCTGAAATTGGGGGGGGGGTGCTGGGGCACAGCCTCAGAAAAGACTTGAGAAGGACGATGCTCTAGGTAGACAGGGCATGAACAAAAGTAAAAATTAGCAGGTAAGATTGGAAATGTCTGGAGGGCCTTGAGTGCCAGCTCAAACCAGCACACAGTTGGTTATTTCAGTGCGAGATAGCTCAAAATCAGTGCCTTGGAGATTCTCCAGATGGACTAGTGTGTGCCAAGGCCAAGGGCAGAAGAAAAACCAAGAGGTGGTTACAAGGATCCAAGAAGGAGGTGATAAGGGCTTGGGGGTGGACTGGAGAGTGGAAAGGAAGTTGAAAAGATTAAGAAGACACTTTTGATTTTGAAAAAAATGAGCAGGAAGATTCCATGTACCCTTCACCAAGGTTCTCCCAGTAGTAACATCTTGCATCACTATAATGCAATATCAAAGCCAAGAAATTTGCATTGATACAATCTACAGTTTATTCACATTTCACCAGAAAAGAGATGCTCTGAAAGTCTAATGACAGAATCTGGACCAGACCTGCTTAGCTGGAGAGGGAATGTTTCCAGAACAGGCTTGCTCCATGGGCCTCCCAGCCCCACAACCCAGAGAGAGTCGAAGTACCAGGGTTAGGGATGCCAGATTTAAACATCTCCATAGCCACCAGGGAGCCTTTCCTGACAGTGTAGCCCTTCTGGCCTTGAGAAGGACCCTGTGAGGACGGAGGCTGCTGCAGAGACTAGATGACAGTAAGACTCATCCACAACTTTGGGTGAGGAAACAGATCCAGTCAGAGAGCAAATGAAGTGGCCTCACTTCCTTCCCTTTTGTCCTTGCTGAGGTGAGAAGGGGGGATGGGCATGGACTCAGCTGTGGGCAGTGGGGTGGGGATGGCTGGCAGGAGGTGTCCAGAGCACCCTGGGGCTTTTCCTCCATAATCTGCTATTTAGAACTGTGGGCCCAGCCATGAAACTAGAGACAAAGCTGTCTTTTTTTTTTTTGTATAGCTAGATGCTATTTTGTTTATGTCTTACTTAGAAATTTGTATCTGTGATCATGAGTTTAATTTTCCTTTCTTTCAATGTCTTTATTATTTGGGGGAAGGGAATTAGGTTTATTTAAATACTGGAAAGGGTGTGGAGAAAAGGGAACCCTCCTACACTGTTGGTGGGAAGGTATTTTGGTGCAGTCATTATGGAAAACATTATAGAGATTCCTTAAAAAACTAAAAACAGACTTACCATACGATCCCGCAATCCCATTCCTGGGCATATATCTGGAGAAAAGTCTAATTTGAATAGATACATGCACCCCAATTTTCATAGCACTATTTACAAAAGCCAAGACATGGAAGCAACCCAAATGCCCATTGACAGATGACTGGATAAAGAAGATGTGGTATGTATACACAATGGAATACTACTCAGCCATAAAAATGCCATTTGCAGCAACATGGATAGACCTAGAGATTATCATACCAAGTGAAGTAAGCCATAAAGAGAAAGAAAAATACTATATAATATCACTTATATGTGGAATCTAAAAATGACACAAGTGAACTTATTTATAAAACAAACAGACTCACAAACATAGATAACAAATTTATGGTTATCAGAGGGGAAAGGGGATGGGGACGGATAAACTGGGAGTTCAGGATTTGCAGATACTAACTACTATATGTAAAATACTATATGTAAAATAGATAAACATTAAGGTCCTATAATGAAAAGCAGAAACTCTGAAGTCAGTCTGGGTGGGCACAGGGAACTATATTCAATACCTTGTAATAGCCTATAATGAAAAAGAATGTGAAAAGGAATATATATGTAAAATTGAATCATTTTATGCTGTAACCAGAAATTAACACAACCTTGAAAACTAACTGTATTTAAATCGAAAAAAATAAAAGAGAGTGAGTGTATGTAAAGATGATGTTCCATTTGGAATAGTGCAGTGGCCATGGGGATAGATGCTTATGAGGTCAACTGGCCAGGCCTTGGTAACAGATACCACAGGGCAGCAGGGTATGGGGAAGAGCCAAAGATGACTGTTTCTTGTTTCCACAAGTGTCTAGATGGTGGTGCCCTTCCTAGGCATGGGGAGCAGAGGAAGGTTCCAGTTGGAGGGGGAAGACTATGTGCTTCAGTCTTGAAAATGATGAGTTCTATTTTGGCTCCTTCAAGGTTAAGGATGCTGTGGAACATTCAGATGGAGGGCTCAGGGTGGCAGTCAGATATGTGATTGTGTAGTTCTGGGGAGAGGACAGTGCAGATACAGAATAGAGAGCCCTCAGCAGAGGGGCCGGAGGGGATGGCATTGCTGAGTCTTGCCTGAGAGTGAGATGGGAAGTGGGCCGAGGAAGGGACAGGTGGAAGAAGAGTCTCCCACAGCAGGAACTGAGAAGATGCTGTCAGGATGAAGGAGGGCCTGGTGAGAAGTCTGGATTTGCTGGGAAAGCTTGGTTCAAGGGGGAGGCTCAAGGAGGAGGTCCAAGGGCCCAGGAGAAGGCAAGAAAAGGACGGCAAAGTGTTAGATTTGGATTTGGCAACAAGGGAGTCAGGTGAGCCAGGGCAGGGGTGAGGCTGGGGCAGACGGGGGAGGGAGGAGGAGCCCAAAGGCAGGTGTGGGAGGGGAGGAGGGAGCAGGTGTAGATGACTCTCTCAAGGGAAGGTGGCATCTAGAGGGGACGCAGGGTCAAGGGGAAGTCGTATGAGGACCTTCCTGGCAGGGTGCATGGGTGAACACAGCAGAGCACAGACTGAGAAGATTTTACCTTTTAGAGAGCTTCTTGTCTGCAGCAGCACTTAAAAGCTAGGTACACCTGTCACCTGCCCAGTAGAAAGTGGCTAAAAGCAGAAACTCTGAAGTCAGATAGTCTGGGTGGGCACTCCGCTAACCGTGCAACCTTGGGCTAATCTCTCTGTACCTCAATTTTTCACCTGTAAAGTGGGGACAATAGTAGTCATTATGCTAACTCTCTCTTCGTGTTACATGCCAGGCACTGTTGTAAGTGCTTTGTGTATACTTACCCCTCAGGCCTCACAACAGGCCTATAGATGTAGGTGTCATGAGGATTAAGGGACTGAATATACATAAAGTGCTTAGAATCGTGCTTGGCACGTGGCAAACACTAGATCAGTGTCCAGTTATAAATGTTCTTGTTATTAGTATTCTACACAAATGCGGGAAATCAAAGCCCCCAGAAGACCATCTGCTCTTTCTAGCCTACAAACATCTTCAGAAGGTTCTGAGGACATGAGAGGATTTAGACTCGCCAGGCTTGAGTGTCAGCTCATTGGAGAGGAGAGGGATGCAGCGGTAAGCAAAATCCCCAGAGCCAGGACCAGTGCCTGGACCAGAGCAGTCCCAGGAAATATTTGTTCAATGGATCAATGAAAGGATCAATGAAGGACTGGGGCCATTTACCCAGCTCCCCATCTGCAGTATCAGCTCCTTCTAAGATATCCTGACCCAGTGGCTGCCCACCCTCTGCTTGCATCTCACTCCGTAGGGCAGTCACTACCCTCTGGGGCAGCATTTTCTTTTGGATGATTCCAGTGGAAGGCCCTGTCACCCCCACTCCCTGGTCCCAGATCTGCCCTCCTCTAACATAGAAGGTGGTGAGCCTCTCTGAACCTCCTCCTGGCCACAGAGGGAAGATTTCCAGCATGAGTGTCTGTCCTCTCTCGCCTGGATGACAACAATACCTGAAACTGACCCCTCACGTCCTATTCTCAACTCAGCACCCAGAGGGATCCTGTTGAGAAGTTACGTCTGATTTTGTCTTGCCTCCACTCAAAATTCTCCAGGGGCTTCCAGCTCAGAGGACAAGCTGAGGCCCTCTCATGGCCTGTGAGGCCCCTGTAAGTCCACCTCCCACTGCCAACTGCTCTCTCTCCATCCCAGAGTGAGACACGCTGACAGTCCCCAACAGTTTTTATTTGTATTGGTCAAGAACTCTTTACAAAATACACACACATGCATACACACACACACCAGATGCCTGCCCTGGTTTGGCCACGCCCTGCTCTGATCTCTCCCAGGATCAGACCTGCCTGGCCTCACCCAGGGTCGCCTTCATGCAACCCCACCAGGCTACCAGTGGAGGAGCAAAGAGAAGGAACCTCTTTTTTGGCTTCCCTGCTCAGAAATAGAGGCCTGAGCCCTGCCTGTAGGGGGCCAGGTAGGAGTGACAAGGAAACAGGAATGTCCCCTTCCCTCCTTCAAACTCCCTGAGTTGCCAGCTTAGGCCCCAAGCACCACAGCTGCTAAGGCCTTGGGATCATCTTCCGGTTGAAGCGTCCCCATCCCCAATTTGCAGACCAGAAAATGGAAGTCCAAATAGGGAGGATAAGTCCCCCAGGTCACAGCCAGTTCTTCCTGGCTTCCAGGAGATCAGAAGAAACCCTTCTTGACCGCCAGGGACCTGGGACAGAGGGGAGTGCCCAGGGAAAGCAGCCCCAGGGCAGCTGAGTGAGCGGAGGGTCTGGCCAGCACTATAAAGATTTGCCAATGGTGCCCTCTGTGACTGCTCGTGTGGCTTGCTCGGGTATACAGTCCGGGTCCGTCAGGATACTGGTAGATGTACTCAGCTGGCGTAGGGAATTCAGAACAGCTGGGGAAAGAGAGAGAGGGGGAGAGACACTTTCTGGGGTCAGGGCCTACACTTGGATGCTGAAGACAAAGGGAGCAAAACTGTTAGCCCCTCCTACACCTCCATCTGCAGGTATCCTGGTAGCCCATCTGGGGGCACAGTGGGATGGCCAAAACCCTAGGCTAGATTGAAGACAGGCTGGACCTAGGGTTGGAGCAGGGTGGGACACCCTGCCCTGAGGCCTGGACAGCTCCTGGGTAGGCTGGCTCACGTACTTGGCCGGAGAGCAGGCAGGGAGCAGTACTGGTCCAGCCAGGCCAGTGAGGTCTGGCGGAGGCTCTGCAGGCTTGCTGTGGACACCATCCCGTTGAAGGACTCGAACAGAGGCCGAATGAGGATGCTGAACTGGGCCCAGGTCAAGGAGCAGGCCTATTATCCAGCTGGTACCCTCACCCACTTCACACGTAGCCCTGACATCTGCCCAAACTGGGGGAAGGGTCTGGCCACTATCCAGCGTTAAACCACGAAGACCCCACTATACCTGCCCTCCCATCCTACAAAGGCCTGCCCAGCTCTCTGGCTCTCAGCCCTCTCCCCCAGCTCCTCCATGGCCCTTCTTCTGGGCTAGACTATCCCCCATCCCTGGGCTAGACTATCCCCCATCCCTGGGCTTCCTGCCCCAGCTCAGGCAAGGGCTTGACCAGGTAGGGGAGTGAGAGATTCAATGTCTTCCCGAGGGCCCACCCCAATCATGTTACTCAGAATTTAGGTTCTCCCAAACTGCCCCTGGGACTTTCTGAGGGGGAGGCTGTGGTTCCCTCACTCAGGGGCTCCCCCTCAGTTTCCCTCTACTCCCAGCCCGTCACTGGGCAACACAGCTGACCAAAATGCCGAGGGCCTAGAAGGAGGGGGTGGAACTGGAGCCCCTTCCCCTGGGAGCAGCTTTGAGATGCTGCCTGGCCTGGGGAGCTGAGCCTGCATCAGGCACAGTCTGATCTGGCTGCAGTGTTCACCCTGCAGCTGGCCAAGCAAGGATACTACCCAGAACTTCCAGTTATGCAGCGTGCGGGTCCGGACATAGTCATCAAACATGTCTCGCATTTGGTCAAACCGCTGGTGTGTGATGGGCACCCCTGTAGCAGGCAGCTGCTGCTGGCACAAGCTGAGACCACAGGGTAGGTCAGGGGTGAGGAGCCAGGCCCCCCTTGCCCGGCATCTGCAGGCCCCCCGCCCCAACACCTACTTAATGGCAGCATTGAGTTCCTCGATCTGGTCCCGGAGCTGCTGGGCCTCCTCCTGCTTGGCCGCACGCTCCTGCTGCAGCATGGCGATGTACTCGGCCGTCTTCTGCAGTGTGGTGGCTTTGCTCATCTGTAGCAGCACAGGTGGGCTCAGGTGCTGGAGGACCCCCACCCTGGGACTCATTGAGGCACTGGGATGGAGGAGGCAGCTGGGTGTGTGGAGGACCCTGGGGTTTGGTCTTGCATCAGGGATCCACAAAGGGGTCCCTGTGGCTCTGGGGTGCCAACCTGGGCTGGGGACTCACCTTGATGTTGGGCTGGGTGCTCAGTGTGCTCACCAACCCATGCAGCGTGTCAAACCCCAGCTTGATATTGAAGCGCCGCTTCTGCTCTGCAGAGATGTGCGTGATGCGCCGGTTTTCCGTCTGGGGGACAGACAGCAGGGTGAGCCTAGGAGGGAGTGCAGGAGGGCCTGAGGGGAGCAAACAGATCTTAGGGTGAGAAATGGTGCCACCTTGTTGTCTGGACGGCCCTGGCTTAGGATGGGTTGAGGGGGAGAGATGCGGATCCTCAGAGTCCCTGGGCCCGGCAGGGAGTTGAGCTCCCCAGACAGCCGCCGCTCACCACCTGTGCCAGGGACAGACAGACCCACAGATGGACTGACACACGGGAGAGGGTTCAATTGCCCTGACCCTCTCATCCTGGTCCCAGACATAGTACCCTCTTCTTCCATCTCCTCCCTCCACCCAGTACAGTCCCCCAGTCCCTGCAACCCCTCTTTACCGCTGGATGCTGGGGGTGAAAGCCGCTCCACTTTGGGGACAATCAGGGGCCTGGGAGGGGCCAGTGTGGCCGGGCCTGGAAGTGGCCCGGGTGGTGTAGGGGCCGGGGTCGGGGAAAAGAAGGTACAGGGGAATTCAGGGACTGTCTCCTGCTGGGGTGGAGAAGGGCGGAGAGTCAGGGTGAAGCCCGGGGGCTCACCTCCACCTCCCAGTGCCTGCTGCCTTACCGGGGACCCTGGGGGCCGGAGGAGGGCGCTGGACACAAGTGGTGGTTCCAGGGCTTGCTCAGGCTTGGCTGTGCACAGGCAGAAATGTGAGGCTGCTGGAGCCCCAACCTCATCACCTCCCAAGACCCCATCCTTCCCCTCCTAAGAGCCCACACCTCTTTGGGGTTCAGGGCTCAGGTCCCTAATTCCTTGCCACCCTTCCCCTTAGCTGAGCTGGCCCCTTAGCTTCACCTTCTGCTCCCACAGGCTCCCCATTTCCACATCTGGTCTCTATGTCCCCCCTCTGTCATCTACCCTGCTCCCCCCAACTCACCTGCTGTGAGCAGCTGTGTGAGGCAAGGGTTGTGGCCCCCGGCAGTGGCAGTGGGGCTGGCAGTGGCAGGGACCAAGGTGGGGGTACTGGGCTTCTGTCCCCTAGGGGATGGGGTGGGGGGCTTGACTCTAGGCCGTGCGCCTTGAGGCGCTGTGAAGTGAGGCCCAAACGGGGGGTCTGAACACCCTGAGGGTAGAAGGTCTATGGGGAAGGGGGCCAGGGCAGGGCCCGGGCCAGGCTGTGGGGTGGGTGGGAAGGCTGTGGGACCAGACACTGGGGACACTCTTGAGGCAGGAGGGACTGTAGGGAAAGAGAATCTAGGAGAGAAGAGAGGCTCTTCCTGCAGCAGAGCAGGGGGCAGAGCCATGGGAGGGAAGTGTGGTGGGGCACAGGGCTCCAAGCCAAGCTCCTTGGCAGGGCTAGGGTATTGGAGGAGGGGTGGGAGTTGGGGAGGAGGTGGGAGCTTGGGCTTGGGGTCTTCAGGAAGGAGGAAATCAGAACTCAGGAAGGCACTGGAGTCCAGGGGGCCAGGGCAATTGCTGCGAGCCTGGTTGGGGGGACAGAGAGCAGGGGAGAAAGCTGACCTTTGAGGCCTCCTGGGGAGCCTCTTCCGTTGGCTGAGCTCTGGACTGAGCACTGGGAGAGACAGGGGAAATGATCCCTGCCCTCTGACACACACACACACCAGGGAAATTATAATCTACTGAGGGGAGGGAGTGGAACACATGCACAAATTGGCCATGAGAAAGAGCATCAATCTTCCTGCCCACCCGTTCATTCACCAAATAATTTATTACTCCAACCAACCACCATTCTCCATCCATTCATCTACTTATTTATTCTCTCATCTGTGAGCTGGCTCATCTACCTGTTTTTCCACCAGTCCACCAGGTACTGATCCCATTCATCAATCCATCCAACCATCTGTTCTCCCTTCATTTACCCACCAACCCAACTATAATCCATCCATTATTCCACCATCTGTATATTAATCAGCCACATATCCATCCACCAGCCCATCCATTAATCTACCAAACTATTCATTTTGGGGTGGGGTGTAATAAGGTTTATTTATTTTTACTTAAGGTACTGTGGATTGAACCCAGGACCTCATGCATGCTAAGCGTGCACACTACCACTGAGCTATACCCTCCCCGCCAAACTATTCATTTTTCAATCCATCCACCAGCTCATCCATCCAACCAACCACTCACTTACCTATATATACACCAGCCATGTAAACATCTACCTCCATCTATGACCCATTTATCTCTCCACCAACACACCCATCCATCTACACATTCATTCACTACTTGCTCAATCATTGGGCAACCATTTACCCAGTGCTGTTAATGAGCTTGAACTGTGCTAAGTATAGAAGATGCAGTGGTCAGCAAAGCATAGCCCTTCCAGCAAGGAGCTCACTGTCTAGTCAAGGAGAGACCTCTCAAACAGTGAGCTGCAATAGTGCCTGAAAAGTCAAATGATGAATGGAAAAGTCATCTAGTCTAGCACTGGGGGGGAAACCTCTGAATTGGGCCTGGGAGTTCCTGAGCCAAAATGGTAGATTCACTGCTTCCTAAGCACGCATGCTCAGCTTCTGCCTCTGGACTTCCGTTCACGCTTCTCCTTCCATCTGGCTTGCCCTCTGCTGGTCTTTTCTGCCCAAACCCAACTCATTCACTGAGGCCCAGAACTCCCCCCTCTTCCAGGAAGCCCTCCACAAGCAGCCCAGCCCTAGGTAGTGCCCTACTCCATGCTCCTCTGTCCTTGGCCTCCCTCCCACAACCATCTTGTCACTTCTGCTTCATGAGGGTCTTTCTCCCTCTCCAGTCTCTCTTGGGTCCACCAAGCATACTCAGGAAGGGCCCTGAATACCTCCTGGGTGTGGGCAGGTGAGCTGGGCAGGACTGGCTGGGGTGGGGTGAGCTCACCTGCAGGCGGTTATGCCCGGAGAGGTGGGTCATGCCCGAGGAGGCAGGGGGCACCTCCGAGCCCAGGATCCCACTGCTGAGGACAGGGTCAGCCATAGGGCCGAAGCTGGGGGGCTCTGGGAAGTTTGAAGGTGTAGGCGTCTGTGGAGGGCGGTAGTTGGTGAAGAAATCTGTAATTCAGATATACAGGGCATTAGCCATTAGGGCTCAGGCCGTGACTGGAAGCAGTGGGCCGGCCCTGTCCCCAGGCTGGGCTGGCGGTGGGGTGGGGGCCGGCGCGGGAGAGGGGCCTTCCACAGGAGATTGTGAAACTGGGAGAGTTTCTGTCTCACTCAGGGGAAGCAGCAGCCGAGGCTCGGGTGGGATGGGCCTGAGTGGGAGACAGGGGGCACTGCACAAGGATGTAGGCAGAACCCCAGGAAGCAGCCCTCCCACCGAGCCCCACACTGGGCTCCTGAGGTGCCCCCTTCCCCATCCCTAGGCCTGGGCACCCAGGTCTTGTCTGCTCCTGTTACCAGAGGGGGCGGGGACTAGAGCGTGCCAGGGAGGGAAAGGGTGGGGTCCAAGGGGAGGAGGTCTGGGATGGGGAAGGGCATGGGGGTGGCAGGAGTTCAAGGAGTGAGTTAGGGGTGAGAGGGGTCAGAAGGTCAGTGGGTCTGGGACAAGTTGGGTTTGCTGGAAGGTCAACAGGTAGGGCTAGAAGGGTAGAGCCCAGAAGTGTGGTGGAAGGGCTAAGGGGGATCAGAGCAGGGGTCAGAACAGGGGCCAAAGGGTGAGCTCAGAGTGGAGGCAGGAGTTGGGAGGGTGCTGGAAGGCCTGGAAGAGCTGGCGGGGAGGGAGCCACCAGATTGTTTGAGGTGCAGGTTGTGTAAGCCCCAGGCTATTCTGGTTTTGGGAAGCAGCTGCCTGTGGCCTAACCACATCCCGGGCCTGGGCGCAGCCCGCCCACCAGCTCCCTTCCGGGCACCTTTCTCTGACCCTGACCAGCCTTCTGTCTGCATCAGCTACCAAGGCCTCCCGGTCTGGTCAGACATGACTCCACTGGCCTTGGGTAGGCCCTAACCCCCCAGGGGAGAGAGCTGGCCAGGCCTTTCTCTCAGGGGCCCCAAGGAAACCCAGGAGTAGGATAAGACGGGATAAAACCTTGAGTCTGACAGGGTCTTGTTTGTGCCTCTTATGTGACTCTGGAGCGGCCACCTCTGTGTCAGTCTCGCGCAGCACTTCTCTGTCTACCTCCTGATGTGTCTGTCCCACTGACTGTAGCTCTGTCTGAGTCTGTGCTCGTGCCCTGGTATGAGTGCTCAGTGTGTCATGTCTGCCTGTGCCCATGTCTGTGTGTGTCTGTGTTTTTCTTGGCCACAAGGGCAGAAGGGATCTTGCTGTCCTCCTGCCCCACTTCAATAGAAGGACTAGGTGGCAGAGGGTGAGCAGTCATTGAACCTCCACCCCCAGCCCTCAGGGACCACAGGCCTTGTCCCTAAGCCCCTTCAGGCCTGGCCTCAGGATGCTCAGGGCCACGGAGCAGTGCCCTCCTTGCTGCCGCCCATTCCCCAGAATCGGCGGGCTCACAGCATGCCTGGCTCATCCCTGAGTCACCACCATCCCCTCACCATAGCTTGTCCCCACCCCACCTTGGGAGAAGTCACTTCCTAGCCCTAGCCTGTTCCCCCCCACTGACCTGCCATGCCCTGGCTGAGCCCCTCTCCTACCCCTTGCTTCCCTGAGTGTGGCTCACCAAGCCTCTCCCCCTCACCGCACCCACCTCACCAAGCCCCCTCCCTCCAGAGAGTTATGGCCCCCTCACTGGGTCCCTTCTCAAGTGAGGAGCTCTTAGGGACACAGCGGCAGCCCTGGTGGCCCTGGTGCTCCCTGCTCTCCCAGGTCATGGAGTGCTTGAGCAGACCACACTGGCCACCTCCCGTGTGTGCCCCACACCCCTGCCCGTGGGCTGCCCTCTCGGGCTCCCTCTCCAGCAGCCACACCGGACTGCGCGAAGTCGCTTCTTAGCCCCAGATGGTCAGGTTTTGCCCAGAGCCCCACGTGGGGGCCACTGGGCTCCTACCTGTGGCAGGAGTCTGTGTGCCCAGATGGGGCTGCTGCCCTCCCAGGCTGGTCTGCTCCCAGGGCACTGCCATCAACACTTCTGTCCCTGCAGCCCCCACCCCGCCCAGGGCTGAGGCAGGGGTGGGGGTGGTTCCTCATTCCCTAGTCCCCGCCCCATAGGCCTCCACCTCTTAACTGACAGGCCCAGGACCCTGTGGGGAAGGACTGGAGGGGTCAACAAAACTAAGCCTTTATCTCAGGAACCCCCTTTCTGCCCCCAACCTAGGCTGAGACAGGCTGAACCTCCTTGTCTGGCCCGAGTCTGGCTCTGGAGTCCCCTAAGTGTGTGACTCCAAGATCTACAAGGGCGTCTCCAAGATCTACAGCTAAGTGAAGAAAGCAACATGGGAAACGGGCTGTTACGAAAACAAAAAGATATTTGTCCACGTGTACTATACAGCTATGATAGCTCTGAAGGAACACGAGAAACCAGTGACTGGTGGCCAGGAGATGGAGACAGGGAAATGGACTACTTTAAAGAATGCTCCATAAGGTATGATTCCCAGGATTTTCCTAAAAATAACGTAAGAGGAGAGAAGTGGGTGAGGTTCCTGGAACTCCTCTCTCTCCCTACCTGTGTGTATGCTTGAAACGTTCTTTAACAAATAGTTTTTTTTAATGAGTTATATAAATACTAATAAATAGACCCAAAGAAATCAAAAGTCTCTCTCTCCCCTGAGGGCCCAACATCTACTGCTTTCCTGGGAGCTCCCCTAAGCCTGGAGCTTCAATGTTCCCGGTTCCCTGCCCCTGCCAGGTACCCTGTCTGGCCTTGCTCTCACCTGAAGCCATACCAGCTGCATCCCAAGGTCAGAAAAAGGGAAACCAGGAAGATCTCTCAGAAATCAGCCAGACCATCCGCCCTCCCAGAGGGGCCTGGGACCGGCCTGAGGTCTCAGTCCTCCTGGGGTTTTCCTCCCACTGATCTTGCCCATCCACCCACCCAGGGGAAGGGGCCTGCCCGACCTGAGATCTCCATGAAGTCATCCAGGCTGGGCTGCAGAGGCGTCAGGTCTGGCTGGATCATGTCAGCATTGCCAACATAGGCTGGAGAGGGCAGCGGTGACATCAGGGGCATCAGGCGAGGTGGAGTGGTGCCACCCGTCCCCGGCCATCCTCCCTTGACTGCCTGGATTCCCACAGGTCTCCCTTCCCTGGTGCAGGCCCTCACCGTCCTCGGGGGGCAGCTGCAGGGGCGTGGGGCTGGGCTGGGTCATGGTGAAGAGCGTGTCGGAGATGTCGGAGAGAAAGCAATCGAGATCCAGAACCTGCCGCCCGCCAGGCTCCTCCTCTGGGCCCCCCAGCAGCACAGGCACCACGCTGGTGAAGAGCTGCTCGCACCATCGCTCCGGTGGCTGCCACCCTCCTTCCGCCTGGGGAGACAGAGCCATCAGCAGCCCCAAGAGGGCTCCACTGCCCTACTCCCTCCCAGCCTGGAGACACAGGGGTCTCCCACTGGCCCTGGCTTTTCCATATCGTCCGTCCCCCTGCATGAGGGATGAAGTAGTCAGCCCCCAAGAGGGCCTCTCTGCACACAGCCCCTCCTCTCCTTTCTCCGGTGGACCCAGTTTGCTGCCTAGAAGGCTTGGGTCACCCCACTGGCCTCTCTGCCTGGGATCCCAGTTCTTACAGCCCTCTGTTCCCCCATGCCTCCCCATCACTTAGTCAACCATAAGGCTTGGGGTCTCCCCACCACTGTGCTCCAAGGCTTCCCTTCCCAAGGGGAGAAGAGCTCAACTAATCAACCAGAGGACAGCGGCCAGCCCACCTCTCTCACCTCACCCTCACACCCGTCCCTGCCCTGCCCACCCAGAGGGAAGCGTCCATTCTTTGGGTCCAGGGAGCACCTACCTGCTTTGGGGCCTGGAGATCCCCTTCCCTGCTGGACTTACGGAGCTGCAGGAACACACAGAGGTGGACACTGGATCCCTTGCCCCCTCCTCCATCACTCCCCGCCAAGGCGTCCTCCACTCGCAAGCTCCCCCAGATCAACCGGATCCCTTATTTCCCCTTGGAGGCTTTTCTGCCCTGGGAGGTAAGGAGGCTGCGAGGAGGCCCTGTGGCCACGCGGTGGCGCTGTCAGCCTGGGTCAATGGAGGGCGGGGTCGCAGTGGAGGGGAAGCCCCTCAGGGCTCGCGCAAGAGAAACGGTGGGCAGCAGCGGCAGGGGAAGGGTCCCCACACCGACCCTCTTCTTATAGTAGATGCGCCACTTGTGGTACTCGCGCATCACCACCTCGATGCGCCGCTTCCAGTAATTGCCCTCCAAGACGACGGCCTGGGGACAGCAGGGAAAGAGACTCAGCGTGAGGGGCAGCATTGACCCCACCCTCACCCGGTTTCCCTCTGGGCCAGCCCCTCCCACTCGGCACAAGGAGTGATGGGCGAGAGGGGCTGGACTTTGTAGGGTGGCGTGTGGTCGGTCCAGTGGTCTCAGCTACCTCCGGTTTCCGGTGCTCATCAGCCTCAGGCCCCTGCAGGGGGGTCACGAAGCCACACACGGGGCTCTTCCTCCGCTCCACATCTGAGAGAAGGGGGCCAGGTCAGGGATGCCCAGCACCCTCATCTCCCACTCCAAGGGCACTGGGACTCAAGTGCCACACTTTGAAATCCTGCCTGGCCTTTGCTGCTCAGATTAAGTGCCACCTCCTCCAGGAAGCCTTCCTCTTTGCTCTCCCAGATTTCCCTCCTCTATGAGACCCTGTGAAATGAAACTTCCACACCTCCTCTGCCTCCCTTGGGAGCCTAGTAGGTGTGCAAGCAATGCTTGCTAAATGGGATTATGGGGCCTCAGGGAGTGAACTTTGCCAAAAGGTCCTGGTCAGACTGGCAGGCCAGGGGACCAGAGCCCTGGTCCCCTGCGTCAGGCTCCTTGGCACTGCCCAAACCCACCTCAGAGAACCACCCCTGGTCTACTTCAGGCCACCTGCCTGCATCCTTTCTCTGCCTCCTCCACTCCCTTCCCTATCTCCAATCCTGACCTCTCCCCAGGCTCTTTTTTGGCCTATAAACAAAATTTAGGCTCTCCTTTACCTCCCAAAACTTTCCCTTCCTTTGTTCCCCAAGCTAACCTTCTTCCTGGCTCCCCTTTGCTTTCCTCCTAAACTGTGGAAGACTGTCACTCACCTCTACTTCTGCGCCTCCCAGTCTTCACCTCCTGTAACTCAGCCTCTGTCCCCACGCCCACCTCACTGACCCAGCTCCTGAACTCAAGGCCCTGGCCCTCCCTGGTCCCATCCTCCTAGACCTTAACTGCAAGCACCCCCTTCCTCCCTAAGCCCCAGGAACCTTCCCTCTGTTCTCCTGCCTCCCTGACCACTTTTCACTGGCCCTTCTGCAAGGCCCACTCCCCCAGTCTCTCTCATTCTGCTCCTTTCCAGCTGCCTGGGGAACCTCCACTAGGATGTTCCAAAACATCACCCTCAGATGTGTGGGAACGTCACTCCCAAACCTGTGCCTCTGCTGGACTACCAATCCCACAACTTCCCAGTGTCTCCCAGCATTCTGGTCTAATCCATGGACTAACCGTCTTAATCCTAAGGATGTGTGACATTTCTTCCACTGTCCCCTCCCCTCCATAGTCTCACTATCATTCTCTTGCCTGTTGTCATTTCTCACTCAGACCTCCCTGACTCCAGCCTCACATTCTGCAGCCCATCTTCCTCTGGCGGCCAAGCCAATTCTTTATAAAGCACAGTGCGGGCCAGCAGCCTACCAAGGGGTGGCAGGTGCAAGAGGGATAAGCCAGGCAGCCCTCCAGCAGCCCCCACTCCTGCCGCTTTTCTGAAGCCCAACTTCAAACCATCCGTGCTCAGGGAGACGGAGTCCTGACATTTGTTATTGGCCTGCTGTGTGCTGTTGCTAATATCACAATAATAGTAATAACTCACCTTCAGGGAGCCCTTGTGTGTATCCGGCCCTGTGCTGAGATATGGATCCTCTATCTCGCTGCAAACTCACAGCAAACCTCAGCAGTAGGACCTCTTATTGCTCCCACTTTACAGATGAGCACGCTTCCGCTGGGAGAGGCTAGGGGCCCTCCCAAGGTCACAAAGCTAGGGTGTGCTAGAACTTGATTCATCCCCTCCTCTGTCTGACTCAGAAACAGGGGTCCTTCTATTAACTTGATTGACAATCTGGGTGAGGACCCCAGGTGGCATCAAAAATTCTTTTTGAAGAGAAGGGTTTATACATCTCATCCAGCTTTGGGGGGAAGGGTAGAGGGTGAAACCTCGGCAGGGTGGGAGGCTGTGGTGGGTAGAGACACCCGCTCCCCGCAGCCTATCAACTTCCTGGTTTGGGCAGGGCCCATCCTGAGCATTCTGGAAGCCAGCCAGCTGGAAGGAGTGCTAGGCTGAGTTGGAGAGCCCTGGACTCCCAGCCACAGCTCTGCTCCTTTTATGCTCAGTGACCCTGAACAAGTCACTCACCTTCTCTGGGCCTCACTTGCTCATCCATAAAATGGGGATAATAATATCTATCTCCCAGGGTTGCTAGGAAGCCTTAAATAAGATGATTTATGAAGGTACTAGACACATAGATGAATAGAAAGCAACCAACCAACCAAACAAAAAAACCTACTCCTTTTCTCTGCTTGACTAGAATCCAGTGGAGCTAGTACAGGGAATACCATGTGTGGTCCCTCCTGGACTGTGTGTTCCCAGCTCAGGCAGACTTTGTTCCTGCAGCAGGACCTTACTGAGTTGAACAAGGTCCCAGCACAGGACCAACTGGTCTGTGGTGTCTCAGTCTCTGCTGCCCTGCCACAATTGGGGGTGGGTGGGTCTCATATCCCCAAATGAATGACCATGACCTCCTCAGGGGTACATTAGATTCAACTATCATTTATTAAGCACCAACTTTGTGCCAGGCCTGTTCATACCCATTATCCCCATGCCAGCCATGAAAGTTAGGACTCTTGGCCTCATTTTATAGATGAGAAAATGGATTTAGAGAGGTTGGGCAACTTGCCTGCAGTCACACAGCCAGCAAGGGGCAGAGGCAGAGTGGGAAACCAGCTCTGGGTGACTCCAAGTCTAGAGTCCATTCCACTCTACCACTCTTGGCCCCTCCCCCCACATCTCCGTGTGGGGGCATCTGATGGAGGTTCAGTAAGGACTTCAGTGGAAGGCTGGTAGAGACCCATGCAGTTTCCCCATTTGCAAAGTGGTGCGACTGGCCCAGATAGAGTTGAATGCCTCTTTCTACCCTTGCATTTGAGGCACCTGATGACACGAATGGGATGAAGAAAGTTCCTGGAACTGTTCCCCAAATCTCAGCCCCCCTTAGTTCTTCCAAGGGATGACCCCTGCTGTGCCCAACTTCACAGTGGAGAGGGCCCTCTGGGGCACATTCCCCCAAACCCTCTGGCAGTCAAAAGCTGTTGAGCGATCCCGGTGCTGGGGACCTGATCTCCCCCACAGCACCCTGCTGGGGCTGGCCCTGGGGGCCCTGAGGGCCCTGGGGCTTTCCAGGGCAGTCCCCACGCCAGCCCTCCTGCTGGGCCCGTGGTTCCCACTCACACTGGATATACCAGGCCCTCCAGATGGCGTTGTTGAGACGGATCTTGTCCCGACACAGCAGCTTGAGACCTTTGAAATTCTTCCACTTGGGAGAAACCAGCTTGCCACTGTGAGAGGGAGAGGGCTGGGTCAGGGGGCGTGGAGAAAGGGGCAGGTTGAAGGGAGCATCTGCAGGGGCTGGCTCCACTCTCTTCCCAGGCACTTATCTATGGTGGGCAATTTAAGGCCCCCCCCCCAAATTTTGCCCTTCATTCTAACCTGCCTGAAATAGCGACCCTGAGAGGCAGGCCTTTAAAACACTCCTCCAGGTCCGCACCAGGGGCTTTAGGTTCTCTGGCAAGACCTGTTGAAACTTGTTGATCAGCTCAGTCCTCATAACAACAAAGCTCAGTGGCCTCACAAGCATCTGTCTCCTAGGCTGACTAAGGAGGGTCTCGCTCGTTTCTTACTGAAGGAAACTGAGGGTCAGGAAGAGAAGGGGACGTGCCTAAGGTCATATGGTGGAGACTCACTGAGGCCCCGTGGCTTTTTCTCCACTGGCCCCCTTAGGCCCAGGGGAGAGGTAAGGTTTTTCTGGGTAGAGAGGGAGCCTCTTCACCAGAGACAGCCTCCAAGCAGCCAGCCACTGTCTTTCCACTGCCCTTTTGCTGTCTGGGCAGCCCAGAATCCCAGGATGACAATCTGGACTGAGCTGGAAGATGTGTCCCTTCCTAGGGGTGTGTGCAAGATGACAGCCACCAGGACCCAAAGGAAGACAGCTAGGATGGTGGAGTGATGGGCAGCGGGCACCTTGACCCTAACCCTGACCCTGACCGTAACCCTAGTAGTCTATCAAATCCATGAGATGGAAGGGCCCTATCAAGTGAGGGGCTTGACTCTCAGGGTCCTGCTGGGCTCAGGCCAAGTCTGCCACTCCCAGGGAGCTGACCTAGGAGGTCAAGATGTTCAGGGTCTTAGACCCCTGCTGGTCCCTCCCTCCCCCTGGTCCACAAACTGAGGTTTTATACAATTCTCCTCTGGCCCACCTTCTCCAACCTTTGCTCACATGGAAGACTGAGGCCCCAAGACTTAGTCTTTTAGAATGTCAGGCTCTCTCATCCAGGGGCCGCTCTCTCATCCTGGGAGTGAGGGGTGGTGGGTGGCAGTCTGACTCCTGCAGCCCCTTGAGTGCACAGGTCACTAAGTCCCCTCTCCTCTCTGGTCGCCAAGCTCCTGTGTTTGCTTTGGGGTGGGGTGGGGTGGGGTGGGGTGGGGAATGGTGAGAACAGCCACACCAGGGCACACCAGGCCTCATTACCCAAATAGAGTACATGGCCCAAGCACCCAGGCCCGCTGGCTGGCCCCCTTCCTCCTAAGTTAGATAAACACCATCTGTCTAGTAGGGAGATAAGGTGGGGGGCACTTGATACCTGCTGGGCCAGCTTGTTTTGTGGCACATGGGGGACTCATGAGTTTGCTGCCCCAGCCTGTATCCCAGCAACCTCCCAGCCCACTCTGATACCCAGTGCCCCAGCCCAGACTGCCTTCCCTCCCTCCTCTATTTCCCTGCTGGGGTTATAGTGTTTGTGGCCAGGCAGGGCTGGGGGAGGTGAGACGGTGACAATCAAGCCCAGAGGAAAGGATTTGGTCTGTTCTGGGCCTGTTGGCTGGGGTGGGAGGAGCGGGCCCAGCCTGGAGCAAAAAGCCTGTGCCCAGGGTTCAAGGGCTTCTTATGACTAAGAGAAATTCTTAGAATCTTGGGGATGGGATGGGGAAAACTCAGAACTACCCTCCACATGCACACACACATATCTACCTTGTGGAAATTACCTTATAGTCTCCCTGACAGGGTCCTGCTTGCTGACCCCCATCCCTGAGGCCATTCCTTCCTTAACAAGCCAGCTCTGACCATGAACAAATGTCTTCTTGGAGCTTCCAGAACCTGCCTCCCTGAGGCTTCCACCCACAGAACCATGGAACATGGGCCTTCTCCCAGTGGAGCGGTCCTCTCTCCGTCCATACAGCCCTGCTAAGGGTGCAAGCTGGCCAGACATCTGCAGGTTGTCCTCCGGGTCAAGCTGGCCCGTTCCTCCCAGCACTTCTGGACTGCTTGCCTTGCTGTCCCTTACCATCCACTTACTCTCTTGGGACACCTTGACTTCTGTAATCCTCTCTCCTCCAAGGAACCCCTATAATTAGGGGACTTTAGACTAAAACACTGTCCCAGTCTGAGCCTCAGTTTTTTCCCTCTACCAAATGGGGAAACCAGAGGCTCCTCTGGTACTGAGCCACTTCCATCCCTGGAGCTTAGGCCCCCACCCAAGGCAGGCCATAGAGATAGAATATGCTGGGTGTTTAGGGAGAAAGTCCAGGCCTCTGTACCCCAGCTATCCCTGACAGGGGTCACATTAGCTTCCAGTCAGCCTCCTAGTGCAGGAGGTTCTTGGAGTGTGCTCTGTCCCCTACCTTGCCACCTCCCCCGACTCCCTCCTTTTGGCCCCCAGGTTCTGGGATGGGGGGTGGGCATGAGGCAGTCTAGGTAGAGCAGTATGTAGTATAAAGGAGGAAGCTTAAATTGGGAGTGGATGGGAAAGGGGGGACCCTGGGGGGCAGGGGTGCCCACATCTGGTGTACCATGACCTTAGATGTCCTGTCCCAGGAGGTCTCGTGATATCCGAGGAAGGGAGGGAGGAGAGGGATGGGAATTTGAACTTTCCAAGCCAGTCTGGCTCTCTGGACGATCAGATTGCAACATGACCTGGGCCTGGGGCCAGAGCTTGTGGGCCAAGGTTACAAAACCTCCAGCCAATAGGGTCGCGGCTGGGCAGCGGCGGTAGTGGGTGGGCAACACTCCCCCGCAATCCCCACCCCAGCTCCTGCTCCCAGTTCTAGAGGCAAGTGCCGAGTCTGTAGCCAGCGGTTCTCAGAAGAGGAGGCGCCGCAGAGGAAGAGGAATATTTGCAGAGAAAAGATCAAGGCCGGCTGATCTCCCTTTCTTCCCAGCGGTTTTCAGTTGATAATTTATCCTGGCCCCTCCGTTCCAGGGAACTTTGCTCCAGGGCACTGAGCCAGGACCCCAGTTCGCGCCCTCCCTGGGGACACAGGCGTGGAGCTCGGGCGGGCGTGGCCGGCGTGCTCTGCAACGCGCCAAGCAGGGGTCCCAGGCAGCGTTAGACACTCAGCCTCGCTCATCGATGGGGGTAGGCGAGCCCAGGCCTCCGGGGAACCAACCCCGCGCGGTCTGCAGCACCCTCTGCCGGGCCACTGCTGGGAAACTGCGAGCTGTGTCCCTCTGGGTCGGCCCGGGGCACACTCCTCTCGCCACCCTGGACCTAGTAGGTCAAGAACAGGTGTCCTAACAATTGAGGGGTGTAGGCTGGGCGAGAAACTGGGTTTCAGTCGACGCTGGCTATGAACTAGGACAATTGCAGGGGTTAGGAGTATCGAGAGGGTGCAGGAATAGCGTGGGTCTGAGCTGGGGCTGCTGCATTGGGAGTGGAGGGCTGCAGGTGGTCGGGTGGAGTGGCCTCCAGAAAGGGGGTGAGGATGTTAGGACGGCCTAGGGTCCTGGGAGAGCAAGGGATGCCCTGGCATTTATTTGGGGACACAGGGGTCAGGACCGGGAAAAGAGGCCTGCGGTGGGTCTACGGAGGTCGAGGTGGAGGGCAGAAGGTCCGCTCCCTGGAGAAGGAATCACAGCGGTGAGGAATGGAAACCAAGAGGTGCGCAAGCTTGTCGGGGACCAGTGGGCTGGGCTGGGGTCAGAGGACACTCCGGGCTTCGGGGAGGGAGGGTATCCAGGATGTGGTTGGAGTCTCCAAGAGCAGTCGGAGACCAAGGTTTGGGGCCGAGTAGGGTGTCCGGGGCCCCAGCGCGTGGTCCCGCCATGAAGGACCGAGGCCGTCGGCCCCGGAGCCGCCCTCACCTGTAGGCCAGGCTCATGCACTCGAAGAGGCGGGTGAGTGTGGGGTCGATGCTGCGCGGCCCGAAGTCGGTGACTCCCAGGGACCCCTCCTGGTCTCGCCGGCGGGTCAGCGAGTCGCTGTGCGGCGACGACACCATGAAGTGACCGCTGTGGATGACCTGCGAGCGGAGTAGCCCGCCCGCGCTGCGCCGCGTACTCGGGTCTTCCGAGTCTGTGTCTGAATCCGAATCCGGGCTGGAGACGACTCGCGGGCTCTGAAAGCCCGCCACCAGACCCGCCAGCGCCCCGGCCCTGGCCATCGCCGCCGCC